ATGCACACACACAGACCAGGTTAGCCCCAAGTTTCAGTCTAGTGTTACGTCTCAGTGTCAGATGCGGGTAGGCTGGGAAGGAGGTCCACCTGGCCATTTGTCCTTACCAACTGCCTGCTTGTCTGCCACTGAGCCCAAGTGGCTATGGCCAGCATGCCTCTGCGTCCTCCCTGCCAAGCGAGAGGGTGAGGTCTGGGTGACCATGGGCCCACCACCCAGTCCCACTGTGGAAAGGCTGGCCTGGGAAGGGATGCTGACCGACCCCTCCCCGCAGGGATTTTGCCCATCCACTCTGCCGCAGGCCTCTCGCCCTGAAGCCACGAGCGTCACAGGCCCCGGCCTGCAGAAGAGAGGAAGTACAAGAGAGTGTAGGATTTAGTATCTGCAGTTACGATCAGGATGATTTGAAAATTCAGGACCAGGCTGCCCAAGAAGGGGGTGCACGCACACCCCCTTTCGTTGTCCCTGGCCATTGCAGGGGCAGGAACTAGCCCAAGCAGCTGACAGAGGGAGTCCGGCAAGGGCCTCACCAAGGACTCTATAAGCCAAAATTTTTGTCCCTTTCGAATAAAAGCAGGTATGTGGGGTGGGGGTGGGGAGAGGAGCGAGCAGGGGTGGCCGCTGTACTGATTCAGGTCTATTATGGAAATAAATTCGCTGAGGACAAGGGCTTCTCCCCTTCCTTCCCCTGCTTAAAACCGTGCCTGGCTCATGGCAGGCACTCAGTAAAAACACACCGAGGGAAGACTGGATAAACGCAACTCCCAAACACCACTTCGCACCTGCTCCCTGCTGGGGCAGGCACATGCTGGGCAGCGTCCCTCTGCTGCCGCAGCCTCACCTCCTCGGCCCTGCCGGCTGGGGAACCTGTTGGAAGACCCATCCCTTCAGCCTGGCTGATGGGAAAGCCAGTCAATATGAGCCAATCGGGTCAACAGGCTCCGACAGCAAGGACGTGGGCTCTACCAACTCTGACAAGAGAGGAATTGAAAGAACCACAGAGCCACCTCTGCCGGCCACAGGCATAGTTCGGTTTCTCCAGTTTGTCCTAGAACCAAGGGCCACGTGGCCCCTGAGCAGGTGAAAATCATCCCCAGAGCATATGTATACACAGCCTGGCTCTCGGCTCTCGGCTCTCAAGGGTTAGCGGAGTGCAGACAGCAAAACACGACTCCTTCCTGTAACCAAATAGCCCTGAGATGACGCTCGGGGAATGAATAATGTAGACGAACAACCAGGGAAATGACAGGTGGCCCCTGCCTGTCTGTCCACACGGATGAGGTGGGTGAGGCTTCAGAAACGAGACAGGAGAGTTCTCAGAGACATGAATTTTTTAAATTAAAGCACTCTCAGGGTTTCGCTAGAAGGCCTGGTAACCATGATCTCCCAGATCCGCATTGCTCTAAGGAGCCCAAGCAGAAAGTTTCGACTGCCCCAGGCATCTCACGTTTCAAGGTTCTTTTGCTCCCATACCTCCCATGATTCCTCGGAGCAGGAGTGCCTTACTGGCCTTGGATTTGCAACCACGGGCTTGTCCAGCGTCTCCTGTTTTAGCCAAACAACCTGCAAAGTGCACGTCTCAGCAGCCCTGCTGAAGGGAGAGAACCACACCCCTTGCAGACCTGTCCCCCTGGCCTATGGCACATATTAAATATTGACCTGCCTGGGAAAGGCAGCCACCTCCAAGCTCCCTGGAAGCAAAGGGACAGGACTAGGCACCAGGGCCATGGGCACTCACCCAGCCTGGGCGAGTTGAAAGCCAGCCCGTGGCGGTCCACACGCATTTCCATGAAACACCACATAATGCATTAGTCCTTGGCGACCTTTATCCTTCAACCCGTTTGTCTTACAAGTAAGAAAGCTGAACTCGAAGAACACTTTTCTACTATAACTGGGGGACTGAAATTTGATTTTTATAAAAATCATTGATTTTATCTTCATTTTAAAGTGAATATTACCTGAGTGTCTATCTTATCCATTTTTTAATTTGATGTGTCCAAATTGAGGTTTGTCTTTCAGACTTGTTCTTCTATCAGCTGGCCCAGTGCCTGCGCTGTTTTCAGTCGAGACCCACTGTGTCTGAGCCCTCACTGGAGGGGGTGGACCCCGTTATGAAGTAAAAGGAGGTGTGCTCAGCCTTTCTGAGGCTCATTCCGGCTGAGTTCATGTGAGGTAATTATATAGTTAGCAAATCTACAAAGACAAGGGGAAAATCAGCAGGCTATGAGAGTATAACGAATAACCCAATGAAGGAGCAAATGAGGAGTTTTGAGTGTGTAACCCGTGTTCAGGTGATAAGACCGGACCCTGAATGTCCAGTGAGCGGTCCCTCTGGTCACCCTAGTGGGACCATTGGGAGCACAGGGCCCCATGTGGGTTTTCCCCACGGTCTCCCTGAGGACTGGCCAAGAAGGGGACAGTGCAGATTTGGGGGAGAGCTGCATGCGTCTCCTGTGTGTGTTGCCCATGCCACCCAGGCAGCCACGGACTAGCCCCCCACCCCCAACTCAAACCCTGCCTGTTTCTTTCTTGAGATTTTTCATTTTTATCTGCTCCAGTCTTATTGTATTTTCTTGCTCAAGCATTTTTATAATGGCCGCTTTCAAACCCTGGTCAGAGAACCCCAGCCCCTGCATCATTCAGCATCGGCCCTGCCGACTGTGTCTTCTCGCTCCTGTGGGGCTTTTCCTGGCTCTCGGCACGAGGACTGACTGTCCGTCACGTCCTGGACCTTTGGGGTGTCATGTCACAGACTCTGGGTCCCGTTGGAGTTGCCTACGTCAGCCACCCTCCTCAGATACATTGCCACGTGGACAAACAGGTCGGTGGGGGAGAACAGAAAAGAGATGTAACCTAATTTACAACAGACGCCAAGTCATCCAAGGTTTTAAAGGAAGCATCTGCTCCTCAGGTGGGCAGGCGGTGAGTGAGCACCCAGCACAGCTGTGGGCACAGCAGGTGTGAGAGAAGCCCAGGGCCGGTCTCTCGCCTGGAGGAGCTTACAGTCCACCCGAGGAGACCACCAGAGAAACAGGCGACAGTGAGACACGGCCCACCTGTGTTTCTCCATAGTCTCTCCTGTGACGCTTGGCCCCCAAAGACTGCCAGTTATGTGCATTAATTACAACCTCTCCTGGTTTTTTGTTAGCTACTGTGCTGGTCCGATGTCACCCCATATTGCACTAGAGTCACCCCAATAAACTCTCTGGGCCTGCCTCATGGGTGGGATGGCCTCTTTCTAAGGTGGCTCTGCCTCTCACAGGCCACGTCTCCATTCTGATGTGCAGGATCTCAAACAAGTGCATGACTCGGGTTTGGACAAAGGGGATTTATGAGTACAAACAGCAGGGACTGACTACCTACTGTGAATAGCAGAACAATGCAACACAATCCTTACCCTGACAAGGAACAAAGCAGGAGTTTGCAAATGCAGATGCACTGGAATTCAAGGTCTGATGAGCAGGGCCTTTGAGGGCAATTTTAAAAATCTGGTAGCCATAGAGAGATGAGAATGAAGGCAGTGTGAATGTGTGTGTGCATGTATCATCATGCGTGTGCACGGGAGTATATGTGATTTCAAAGGAGAGAATGCAGCTAGTATTCATATCACAATCTAGAGAGTCCATCTCTCTTTTTCAAACTCTCATTGTTACATTGTGTACCCTTTTCCACTTGAATAGAAATTGTGTTTTTTGGTTTTATAAACAAAATCTCCCTGAAACCATTTGGATCAAAGCATCTCCAGGGCCCCTCTGCACCCTGACCATCCTTCCGGGGATTCGGTTGCTAAGGAAATGCCGTGGTGACGTTCCTACCACAGTTGTGTGTCTAGACACCCCCCCACCCCCAGGATGGTAAAAGTGGGACACTTCTCATCAGGCTTGCAGCCTGGGCATGTCGACAACCGAGATCAGGGGCCCAGGTGCCTAAGACCAGCCACCCTGGAGGGATTTTGCACCTGGTTTCTGAGGATCCATGGCCAGATCACAGCTTGGGGCATAAAAGGGATCAGAGACGAAGGCTTCTCTGCAGAGGCCCCCACCTCGGGCCTTCCAGGGCCCCTGATGTGTGTCATGGGTGAGCGCAAAGCCCAGACAGTCCAGCAGCACTGGAGTGGAACGGGGCAAGCGGATGCTGTGTCGGGGGCAGCAGGCTGCCCCGTAGCCCAAACAGGACAGCAGGCCCCCAGGCCCCCAGTGAGCAGAGGGAGGTAGCCGGAGTGAGGACCGCCACACACTGCTGGGTGGCAAGTCTCCCTGGAGTATGCCTGGTCAGGGGACTGCACCTGAGAGATGCCCACGGGGAAGGTCCCCAAAGACACATCAAGAAGCCCCATAACGAAGGGTGGCCATGAGCACCTGCCTGGCAGCTCAGAGCTGCCTTGTCCGTCTTGCTCCCTCCCCAGCCTCACCCCCAGAAGCCAGAAGCTGAGGGTGACCGGGAGGGCAGGAGAGCTCAGCAGGGGGAGTGGGGATGTCCCCCAATGCCCAGCTGGGGAAGAAGTCTGAAGTGACTAGAGTCCCAATTGTCACATGGGTGGATGGGCATCTAAGTTCATGCCTTGAGAGCACTGTTACCTAGAGGGGCCGCAGGCAGATGCCTGGTCACCTCTGGGCAGGGGAGCAGCTGGGAGTGGACACGGGGCTGGTGGGCTGCCAGCAGGGGTGTCCCCAGGTGTCACAGTGTGGTCAGTGACTGAGCGCCCACAATTCATTTTCTCTCTGTGAAATGTTATGTTTTAACAAAGTGACTACAGGACTTTCAGCTGCCGAGGTGTGAATACGTGCGGCCAACTTGCGTTCGGGTGTGGGGAGCAGGAAAGACCGGGCCTGCGCGGACTCCCAGAGACAGCTGGAGCCACAGGTAAGTTGTGTTTGGGGTTATATTCCAACAAACCTGTGAGTTCAATAAATATTTGTTTATAGGTCAAGTCACTGGCATGCCAAATTTAGCCAAAAACAAAACCCCAAAACCCCACAACCAAAAAACAACCACCAATGGACAATAATTTTAGTGTTTGTCTTAGGCAATATTTGAGACATACACTAAAAAACTTATTTGGTGTTTATCTGAAGTTCAAATGTAACTGGCTATCCTGTGTTTTATCTGGGCATCTAACCATAAGATAAAGGCAGGAAGGACCTCACTGGTGAATCTGGCACCACAAAAGAAAAGCCTCCACCATCAGGCCCCATGGGCCCTGGGCAGGCACGGGGTGATGGTGTCCAGAGGAGGCAAGGGCCAGGCCTCCACCCACATAGCTGTGGCTGCTTGAATGACCCTGGAGGGCCATGGGGACCTTGTGAAGAATAAATGGCTGTAGAAAGATCGGAAATGGATCTTTCTTGCACCAGGATGCAGTGAAGTGAAATTTATAGCCACCACTGAAGCTACGTGTACCATTCTAGAAAACAAAACCGGACTTAAGGAAGGCTGCAGCAACCTGTCCTGCCAATAGTTCAGCGTCCCTCAGCCCCCGATCCCTCGTCTTGGGCCTGCCCAGAGAGATGTACAAGCTGGTAGTTTCAGATCACAGACCAGAAAGCACTAGGTCCCTCTCTCAGGCCCTTCCCAAGCATCCTGTGCCTTCACAATCCCACACACAGTCAGAAGAGAAGGGCCATTCGGGGTCAGGTTTACTTCACCAGTCCAGGGGTGCTTTAAAGGTCAAGACTCCTTGTGCGCAGGTAACTACAGAACACACTAGAGACGTCTTCACAAAACTAGGGAGTCTATGCCCAGCAGTCGTCTGTGCCTTGCACGATGCTCAGGGGACACGTCTTCTTTTCTATGTAGGCTCTAGAGCAAGCAAGAGGTAGTTGGGTCCACATGTTTGGCCAGCAACCCTCTGAAGCCATTGATTGTCAAGATCCACTTTTCTCCCGAGGGTGCAGGGGAGCTGATGGCACGTCCCCGGGGTCCTGGCAGCGACCAGGTGACAGGAAGAACAGGAACTGTGTGTGAAGGGGGACCAGGCCAAGGTCCACAATGAGGCCTCTCCCACAGTGCCTGGGAGACCGAGGACCGTGGTGTGCCAACCCCTGGACCAACCAAGAGAAGGCTTCTGCCTTAGATGGGGCACTTGGGAGTCACAGTTAAGGTGCCAGGAAACCCAAACCGAGCATCCTCTTATCTGAGCAGCTGTCTTGCCCAGCTGCCCAACACCACTGCCAACTTGCATGTCCACACAAGAGCCTGGACAGGCAGGAATTGTTGGTGTACTCTGTCTGGGAGCCATTGCCGTGTTTCTTTGAGTGACATGGGACAAAAGAAGTGGACTATTTACAAGCTGGAGCTCCTGACCCCCGGGGCTGAGAAGCATGGTGGCTCCGGGCCTCCCTTCTCCTAACTGAGCTGTGAGCGGCTCAGCAACACCAGCAGCCTGGCCCGGGAGCTGCCTGTCACCATGGTGGGCTCCCCGACACACGAAGCCCTGTTCATCCGTGCCAGCTGCGGGAGACGCCCCTTCCTCCACATCTAGGAAAGCAGACACATCCCTGACTTGGAGGAGGGGGCAGCGTCCTCCACAGTGCTCCCTGTCATGTCGTCGGGCATCTGCCCGTCGGCTCGCCACACGTTCAGCTCCCCAAAGGTGCCCGTCTCGATCATCTCCTCCTGCCAGGGAATGGAGCAGTTGCCGGTGGCAAATTCCTGGAAGAACTCTGTATCTGCTTTGTCAAAGACCACACCCTTGACTGTGGAAAAGGCCCCTACATCCTGGATGTTCTTTGCATAGACAGTTCTGGAGTCTGGGATGAAGGGGGGTATCAGCATTCCTGACGGAGGACAGAAAACACAGATGTGAAACAACGCATAACGTTAGGAAACCGCCATCTGCCAAGGAATCCTCCCCGCTGGGCGAGCGGGGCCGTGGCCTTGCCGCCGCCCTTCCTGGATGGCTGTCAGGGCTGCTAACAGGGAAATCAGCACACCTGGGGGGTCCTAGGCATCTCCCACGGCCCCAGCGTGGAGGACGGCGTGTTCTCACCTCACACCGCCACAGCTACCAGCAGTGCGACCCTAGACACATGCCCTCGTGCCAGCCTCCCCCAGGAACCGCCGTCTGCCAATCAGACACCCGACACCCGACTCGCTCAGAGCTGAACTCCTCATCGTCTCTCCAGAGCAGCTCTTCTCTCTGACCTGCTCAGCGGTCATGGATTCTCCAGTTGCCAGACACAGATCTTCGGTCACCCAGGACCCCCACCTAGACGGACCCTGCCTTCCTCTCACCCCTCACCCCATCCCTCCTCCCAGCTCACGGTCTCCGGCTGGCCAGACTGTTGCAGTGACCTAAGGGCTGACTTCCTGGCTGCAGCTTCTCCCGGTTCTGACTTCTCAGGGCTGTGTGACCTCTCCCCACCCCAGGCCCGCCTGGACAGCTCTCCTAGAGGATGGAGCCCATCCTCAGGTCATCCCGGAGCCGCCTCTGCTCTGACCCTTCCCTGCACAAGTGACTTCCCTTACTGAGGCATCTGCTACTCACTGCCCTGTCAGCCCAGGGCTCCTGCCATCTAGTCACGTGTTTACGCACCCCGGCTATAAGCTCGGGACGTGTGGCTGTGTCCCACCCTTCTCTCCCACAGACACGTGCACGTGAGTGCACACATATGATCTCGCACATGACGCTTGATAACAAATGCTGGTTGGGTGAATGAATGAATGAATGTCTCCCAAGCAGGCGGCTTCGATCAGTCCTGCCCTGATGGGGATCCTGGGCTCCAGGAAAGAACAGGGTGTGGAAATGCAGAACAGCAGATCTGGGTCAAAAGGAAGCCAGCATATTCCCTGCCTATCTTATCCAACCTTTTCTGACCTCTGGCAGATTTCCCAAAAAGCCTAATCCATCAACACCCAGTCCGGGGGTGGGAATGAACAGAATGCTAGAGGACGGAGGCTTTACCAGGGGGCAAGAGGGCAGCTACCCGAGGAGTAGCAACCAGGTGTCCCTGCTCTGCTGACACTGATCTAAGCCTGGACAATACCAACAGCGCAGGTGGGTCAAGCAAGAGCCACCCAACAGACCCACGCCCTGTGGGCCCCAGACCCAAAGGTGTGCCGTGCTGACAGTACCAGCATCGAGCTGTCTCCAGTTAATGTCTTTAAAGAGGGGGTTGACGCGGAGCCCATCGCAAGTCCCATCTCTGAACCCCAGACGCTTCTCTGGGTCCTTCTCCAGCAGCGCCTCACAGAAGTCCTTGCTGGCCTGGCTGAACTTGTCTGTGTACTTGACCGCCTCCGAGAGGATCCTGTGCTTGAGCTCCTTGTTCTCCACCTGCACAGTGGGATGCACGTCATGTGAAACACTTGCCAAACCCACCAATGTCACCAGAGGTGGCACCTGGGGCTCTAGGAGATGGGGCAGCCCCTGTTGGTGTCCAGGCTGGGCCAGGGCTCTTCCCAGAAAGAAGCCGGCCCCTCATTCACACGGAGGCAGAGGTCATGGGAACCTGAGCGTGCTCCCCTCCCCAGCATGGTGGCAATTAAAGGGTTTAATAGCTCAGGCGGGAGGAGAGGAACCCTAAAGGTGCTGGCCAAAGTTGGGGTGCAGAGTAGCTCAGGGAACCCTGGTTGATACCCTGGCACCTTATATATAACCGCTCCTTAGCTAGCTGAGGGAAAAAAGAACAACAAAAATAATAAGTCAACTTTGGACACCAGGGCTGGCAGAGAGGTCTTCTAACTGGACAGAACCCGGGGATGCATCTGTTCCTCCTCGCTGTGAGTCAGCTTCACAGAACACAGCTGACCCGCCACAAAGCTCCACCTTCAGCAACCCCAGCGGAGGGTTGTGATCAGTCTGCAGAGGCCCCCCGCCACTCCCCCAGAGTCCCCCTGCCCTCTGCGGCCCGCCTCCGCCTCAGGCAAACACTGACCTGCCTCTCACGATAGAAAGCTTTCCTAAAATTTCCTGCAGTGAAATCATCCAGAGTTACCCTTCCATCTGGCTTCTCTCATTGACTAGCAATTCTGAGGCCTGTTTATGTTGTGGGTGTATCGACACTCCCTCCTTCCTGTCGTTGTGGAGTCAGGCTCCATGGTACTGACGGACCGTGGTTGGTTCACTGTGGGCATCGCACAGAAGCTTACATACATCTGGCCATGCGTACATGCACGCAGAAAACCGGGCCCTGGCTGGGGCCGCGGGGCCAGAGAGGGCTCTGAGGTGGGAGCGGGGAGCTCCTACCGTGGCCCTCGCTGTTTCGTCTCATTTTGCTCTTCTGAGCTGCTGGAAGTCAGGAGAGGGAACTGGTTCCTAGAGTTCAAGCTGCCATCGCAAAGACACAGTGACCTGATGTGTCAGTCACGTGAGGACTCTTTGCTCTTAGGAGACTAGAGACTTAGTTTGTTCCTGCAACTGATATAGGGGGATGGGATTGGGGCCAGAGCAGAACACACCAGGATGTCCAGACAGGAAGAAGTGACAGGCATGGCACCCGTCAGCCTGAGGTGGGTGGGTCAGGTGCTGTGTCTGAAGACTGCAGTTCACCCCTGGCCCCTGGAGGCGCCTCCTTTCTCCCCGCGCCCCCCCCCCCGCCCCGCCTCCTCACTCCCAGGCTATGGAGATGCCCCGGGCAGACAGCACGGGAAAGGAACTCGGAGGGTGGGAGGCCAGGGACATTCCATAGAGCTGCTGTGCTGTGCGGTGCCTGGCATGGGGCCAGCAGCATCTTAGCATCAGGGGAGAGCATTCTTAGTATTCTTCTGCTGTGAAGAGCTCAAAGGCCATCAAAGGGACCCGGGTGGCTCAGTGAGGCAGGGGGAGGGGTGCTAGGTGCCACTCATGGGGGTGTGTTTGAGAAAGCTTGGGCACCTTTCGTCCCATCTCTCGGGCAACACTCCTCAGTGTCAGGAGCTACATGACATGAAATCACTGTGCCCCCTCTCTCCTGCTCATGAAGGACCTGCCATGAGAAGCCTAGTGTTCAAGATTTAAGCTGCAGTGACACCTGCTCCTATGATACCCCAACCAACGGGGAGAGTCACCTTGGGACAGCTGCAGGGTCACCGACTAGCCCACCTGGTCCTACCTTCTCTCCCCGGGCTCGGAAGGGTCCTCTGGCTGCGATCATCTCATACAGCGTGACGCCCAGAGCAAAGTAATCCACGGAAAAGTCATACTCCTCACCCCGCAAGAGCTCGGGGGCCATGAAACCTGCCAGACAGGAGCACAGTGAGGACTCAGAGGGGCAGCTGCATGGTGGTGAGCACAGAACTGATGTTTCCAGGTGTGCATGGTGCGGGGGTCTTGCATGTGACACTTGGGGCAGAAAATCCTATGATGGGGCTGCTGCATCCCTGGCCTCCACCCACCAGTTAGTGCCTGCCCCTCCAAGTTGTGACAACCAGAATGTTTCCAGACATCGCCGAGTGTCTCCTAGCAGCAAATTGCCCCTTGGTGGAGAAGCACCTCCCTGTCCATATGGTGTGAAGCCTGGTGTCCCCTCGGGCACACCGTGACAGACAGAGCAGTGGTTCTTGCCGGCCTTCCAGGTATGCATGTGACCTGTGTGGTCAGGAGGGTTGCAGAGACAGGCACTACAAGATGCTTACCTTAAGGGCATAGATTTAAGCCTCCAAAGATGGATGGGGAGGGGGTTGTCCCAAGAACCACACTGGAGGCTGAAGCTGAGGGGTGCCAGCCAAGGCCGGGCTGTCGCACTCAGTGAGGCCTTGCTCTCAACTGCTGTGAATTCAGGTATCGGCGCCCGTTAGTGGCATTTATTCTAGCTGACGCCCATTGCATGCTTGCTGTATGGCAGGGGAAGGTGCACAGTGAGCTCATTTAATCCTGCTGACACCCAGGGGAGCCATCACTTTTCCCTGTTATTTGGAAACTAACTCGTTCATGATGACGTGGATAGTAGGAAACAGAGACTATCCGATCCGGCCCAGGCATCTAAGCTTTGAACCGCTACATTGTCCTTGGTATGGTAGCTAAACCCACTATTACTCCACCTAATGGTCCTTCTGCAACTTGGCTTTCATTTGCAGCAAAATTATTCAGGCACATAAAGGATTAGCTAGTTCCACAGGACCTGTTTCTAAAAATAACAGTGCCCTGACCCTCCTCCTCCACCTCATCCCCATCTCAGGCTCCTTCTAGCTGGTTATTTTGGAATTAGTATCCACACGTCTAAGTAACATGCTTATGTCGCTGGTTTTGCAGTTCCCACAAGGGCCTCCCCAACTGACTCCTCGCCCGGGAAGCTGAGGGGTCTATTCCTCTCTCCTCTGCCACCCTGCCCATCCTTCTCCCTCGTCCCTCTCCTGATAGTCGTCTGGCTGGTCGGCTCTCGGCGCTCCCTATTCCCCACTGAACCAAAAACTCAGCCCCAGTTATGTCTCCTTTCTGACATGTTTTTATAGGTTTTCCCAGATTATCTTATCTTTTCTTTCCTTTGCTTCATTCTCTGTGTTCTTACTATCAATTTGATCCTAAATTCCCTGACTACTCTCTAATACTTGTCACGTTTGATATATTAAATATTTTATCAACTTCATCCTCATTGGGCAGTCTTGTGGAACCTTCTGACCTGCTCTAATATGGATTCTGGTGTGCAGCCTGCGGCCTAGAATCTCCCTGCCATCGTGAAACCCTTTGTCTGCCTCTGTGTCCTCTTTCCTGGACACTCTGCCTGTCGGTTGAGTCCCTTATTTTGGCCAAGTAGCTTCCTGAGGAAGGGTGCTGAAGTAAGCTTTTGAAAACATTTGTACCTGAAACTACCTTTATTTTGCCATAATACTTAACTGATGGTTTGATTTGGGTATAAAATTCCAGGTGGGAAATCATTTTCTCTCTTATTTTTCAGACATTTTCCCATTGTCCTCTCATTTACAGTACTGCCCATGTGTGATAATTACAGCCCTTTTATGGGGGAGGAAGTGTGAGCCCCTTCCCCAAGGTCACAGAAATAGACGGTCTTGGAGCCTGGTGCCCCCTGTGCAGCCCAGTGTTGGGTCCATGTGCCTAAATGCCATGCAGTCCGACTCATATGCTCCTAATCACGAGCTTTATGCCTCTGCTTTGGGTAGAGGGTGCCATGTTCAGCAAAGCAAATAAGAACTTGTCAGATGTCTGTGTCTAGCTGGTCCCAGCCTCCAGGAGCTGGTCAGATGCCCACCCTTACCTCATCTGTTCCCACACTAGGTCTGTGCCATAGGTAAGGTACTGGGGCCAGGTGCTGAGCTCCACATGTTGAAGGTCAACAAGATTTAGGCCTCCATTCCCTAACTGCCCCCGTGTAGAGGCCAGATCAGCCTGTGGGAAGGCCAGTCTCTAGGGCCACTCCCTGGGGGCAGGGCAGGTGTTATAAGCTGGGCACCGGCTTCTGTGCTTGGATGACTTTAGACATTCTGAGGTAGGCAAAGCTGGTCATGCCCATTTTGGTTCTGATTCTTCCTTGTCCTCAGTGTACCCGTGCTCACAGTGAGTGTCTGAAAGGGAGATGTGCTCCACAGCACTAGCCACACTGATGTGACTGCAAATCACTTCTCCCCCAAGGGGTAACAGGAGTCAAACTCCAAAGAACCTCCTGGCCCTGAATGCACCTTTGTAAGTTCTGCTTTTCAGGGAACTACATTGTTGTCCAGGCTGTTCAGACTCCTTGAAAGAGGTGTGTTCAATGAACCACAATATCTAAGTTAAAATGGGGCCTGAGAGACAGGCCAGTCAGACCACAGGGGTACAATCACCTCCTGTGACAAGTAACTCGGTGGCACCTCTAGTCTGTCCCAACCAGCTCATTCCCAAATGATGCATCTTTCTGTATCCGTGCACCTGGGGCAAAGCAAGAGCCAACAAGTATTTGTTGTTTGAATGAATGAATGAAATGAATGCATGCTACCTCAGTTTAGTTACTAATTCTTCCATATGTTGAGTCATCTTCCCCTCCTGTCCAGAAACTCACCGGGGACAAAGAGCATGCCTTCTGTCTTAGGCGTATCCCACTGGGCTGCGAAGCACTAGCCAAGGTGAGTTCCCTGTTTACGGCTGACTGCAGAGGCTCAGAGGCCCTGGTTCTAGGTCGAGCCTAGGGCTGACATGGTGCAGAAGGACTAAAGAAGAAGGATCCAGAGGCAGCCCCCTGTGGCTCTGCTAAGTACCCCAGCCTTCTAAGTTATTCTGACTTCAGCCTCTGCTGCAGCTGTTTGAGGGTCACACCCTGCACCCGAACCCAGATGCTCAGAGCCACGCCTGCACGCGCCCCTCGAGAGAACCACCCACCTGGAAAGCTTTGTCCCTCTGTTCAAAGTACAGCTGCAGGTTGGCTCCGTGGCCACAGCAAGGTCTATGGGGCCCTCTGGTGGCCAACAGGGCCCTTGCGCATGGCACAAGCAAGGTCAGGCGACATCCTTGAGGGTCAAACTACTTCACATCCTGGCTTTGGAGTTTTCTGGGGCTTTCCCCTAATGATCTGAATCACCCTAAAATACGTGAGTGGTGTTTCCACTCACAGACTCATGCCAGGAGTAGAACTTCACAGACTTTGGCTGAGGATCTAGAAAATTCAAGATTGGACCTTTCCCTAAATAAAGCCACAGATGAGGGTGGTGCACACTTTGGTGACAGGTACACCCTCCTCGCCCCCAAAAGCTCAGAGCCCAAAGATTGAGAGGATTCTGCAACACAAAACAAGAAAACCACTGAAAACCTTCATCACAGAAGGTGCTGCATGTTAAAACCGACAGCGACTTTTCAGGGGGAGAGGTCACACCTGCAGCAGGGGCAGGCTCCTGACGCAGCTGTGCTAGGCCACCAGCCAGTCCTTCCCCCCAGCCCTCACCATGCCACCTGCCCCGGGCCATGGGGACCCTGCAGAAGCCCTGAGGATTCACTCCTCCCCCTGAGAAAGGCGACTCCCATCCTTGCTCTCAGGACCTTACCTGGGGTCCCTGCGTAGCCCTTTGTCTTGGTCTGCCCTTCCTTCAGCTCCACAGCCAGCCCAAGGTCAGAGATTCGGACATTGCCTGAAAAGAAAACATGGGGGACAGTCACACACGGCTCCAGGAACAAAGGTGTCTGGTGTTTCTGGGGCTCATGGGAGCCAAGAGCCAGCCTCTGCACACATGCACACACACATGTATGCACACATGTTCACGAGTGCTCCCAAGTATACACACTCATGCGCATGTGCTGGCACACACACATGTGCATATTCACACACTCACATGCACACTCCAGGGGCCGGGGGATGAGGCCTCAGCACCCAGATTCCCTGCTCCCCAGACAGACCACAAGGGACTGAGGGGTCCCACAGCACCTGAAACCTGAATTTGGAGCATAACCCACCCAGGTTCAGTTTTCCCCTCTGCTCTCTCTTCCCCAAACTCTGCAACAATCTTTGGTGATGCCCATTCGTGTGTGCAACTTGGTGGCAGAAAGGGAGGAAAATCTAAAGGGACGTAAGGGAAACCTAAATCTCTGCTTATTTTCCAGTAAGAATCCCAACTTGACTTCACAGAGGGGGCAGAAAGAAGAGTGACTGAGGGAGAATTTGGCCATAAAATATTAACTGTTTGCAAATAGTTTCAGACACTATAGACATCCTGGATTAACTCCTTGTAACTCTAGGTGCCTCTTTACCTCACCAAATTTCATCAAATCTGGCCAAAAATCTACATTTGGAGATAATGCCATTCTATTGCAAAATGGCTAAGGGAGTGATACACAAATTTCAAAAGTGTCCTGGTGCCACTCAAAGCATTGACAAGCACTTGCCAAAACCAGCCCACCCCCCTACAGATGACCTGTGGGGCCACCATGTCCAGCTGGGCAAGGGGAGGGGGAGGGGAGGCCGGGGATGGAGGGTGGCCGCCTCACCTTCGTCGTCCAGGAGCACGTTCTCGGGCTTGAGGTCCCGGTAGACGATGGCCCTCTGGTGCAGGTGCTCCAGACCACTGATGATCTGGGCCGTGTAGAAGACGGCGCGTGGCTCCTGGAAGCCAGGGTTGTCCTCGTCCACATTGTAGATGTGGTACCTGGAGGCAGACTATGCAGAGGCCTGTGCTGTTCTGGCCCAACCACCACAGCGTGACCGCGGCATGGATGGCAGTGCCATCTCGGGAAAGCAGGGGGTGCCTCGCGATCCCCAGTTGGGTCAGTGAGGTGTCTGGTCATCTGGGGCCTCAGTGTTTTCAGCCTGGAGGACCTGCTGGGCCCCAGAGACCCCCTTCCCAAGCTGGGCTGCACGAGCCCTCCCGTCCCAGCTCCCGGGCGGAAGAGGGGAGGGACCCGTTCACCTTAAGTCGCCGCCGTTCATGATGGTCATCACCAGACAGAGGTCAGTTTTGGTTTCAAACGCATAGGCCAGAGAGACTATAAACCTGCTGTGTACTTTCGCTAGAATCTTCTTCTCTACCATAGCACCCTGAAAAGCAAGACGTCGAAAAGGTACCCAGGCTTAGGCAGGGACGTGACATTGCCATAAAAAAAACGAGTTTTGCAAACCAGAAAACATTCTGATAAACTAGAAACAGAATCACAAATACGTTTTAAGAGTAGTTTGCGCTCAGGCTGGTGTGGCTCTGTGACTTGGGTGTCGTCCCGCAAAGCAAAAGGTCGCCAGTTCGATTCCGGGTCAGGGCACATGCCTGGGTTGTGGGTTCAGTCCCCTGGTGGGGCACCTACAAGAGGCAGCCAATTGATGTTTCTCTCTCACATCAATGTTTCTCTCCCTCTCTTTCTCCACCCCCCCACCCCCACTTACCCTCTCTCTAAAAATAAATAAATAAAATCTTTTTAAAAGTGGTCTGCACAAAGCAATGGCAAATAACTTAAACGCACATACAAATTAGCCATGTACAGAGGACTTAGGGTCTCCCGCAGCCTCCAGCAAGGGGCCTCCAGCCGGCTGGCCTTACAAACATTGGGTGAGGGAGCCAGCCCGGGTGCCTGTCCGCTGCGGCTTCCCTCCCCATCCTTCCTTACGTCTAACCCATCCTCCTGCCGAGACCTCAGCCCTGTTCCTCCCGGCCAGGCCTCTGAACAGAGGACAGCTGAGGTCCCGAGCCACCCTGCATCTCTGTTCATTTTCTATCTTTGTTTTAAAAAACTCATGATACCCATATAACATGTTTTTAAAAGTGTGCTTGGAAAAGAAAAGTAGTATCCCTTTCTAAAGGAGGAATTCTTGATGTGGGAAGAGGCCTCTTTCTAGCCAACTGCATGAGGAGATTTTGGGTTGGTTTTACTTTGTATTAAGTTCAACGAGGGTCCTGAACTTGGGAGAGAAGAGACTGCTGGGCTCTCATTGTTGGACTAAAGTCATAGGCTGACAGCTGAGAGGGAGGAACGACTGCTTCCCCCCGAAGTCCCAGAGGGGGAGCACCATCCAGGAGCCCGGGGGCGGGGGGGGGGCGCAAACCGTGGCAGCTGATGATTGCCCCGAAAAGCTGCGTTTGCCCCCAACGCAATCTGCACCTGGGCAGCGGGAAGGCACAAAGAGCATGCAGGACCGAGTGTGCAGCTGGGAGACGAGCTCCTAAGACAGTAAGCAGCTTTGGCTGATCCTGCCTAGAGGGGTCTGATGCCAGTTAAAGAGCAGCCCCCACAACGACCTGTCTGTGCCTCCATTCACCCCCCGTCCCCGGAAAATGGTTGCGCTCAGATAACAGCCTGCACCCAGCATCACGGACAGGCTTGGCCTCTCGGAAAAGGCAGGCACCAGCCCTGGCTAGGTTCCCTGTGCACTCTCCATCACAGCAAAGCTAGGGCCTGGGAAAGTTCCAGGAGTTCAGAGTAAAGAGAGCACAATCCCTCAACACTGCTACTGAGTTTTGTGGTGTTAGTGGAAACCAAGGATGACAGAATGTGGGGTGTCATCCACACCAACAATTACAAAGGCCACTTTCCAAGGACGGACTCAGCACATCTGTTTGTGTGCAGAACGTGAGGCTGATTGTTAAGAGCAGCTGGACAAACTGTGCCACAGTCTGGGAGGACCACAGAGGCCACACACCGTGTCCTTTGCCACGGCACTCCAGCCAGGCACACGGCTGCTGTGCACAGACGGGACTAACGCAGGTCAAGGGGACTCAGATGGACCAGAACCAGCCAATGGCTGCACAGCAGGAGGGGCTCTGTGTCCAGATGGTAAGGCGAGCCAGCCAGCCAGGCGAGGGGCACCGTGCTGGGCTGGAAGGAGCACCTGAGGGCCGTCCCAGCCCACTGAACCCACCCGCCCACCTGCCAGATCTAAGAGCATGCCCTCCACTGTGCACAACCGTGCTGCCCACCTGGTACCCCTTCCTTTTCTTCAGCCTCTTCTTGTTCAGCTTTTTGCACGCGTACATCTTGCCAGTCGCCTTCATCTGGCAGGCCGACACCTCGCCAAAGCCACCTTTGCCCAGCACCCTGAAGTCCAGGAACCAGTCCTCCCCCATGGGCTGGGCTTCCAGCCACTTCCACTGCAGGAACCTCTGGAAGTGCAGGCTGCCCAGGTACTCTTGGAACGGGGCCTGGCTCAGGTAGGCCAGGGTGGCCTGCAGGAGGGGCTGGAAGAGCCCATCCCCACTGGCCACGGGCCCCTCCCGGAGCTTCACCACAGTCCCTTCGTCCAAGAAGCCGCAGAAAAGCTTGGCCTGGGGGTCCAGGTACTCGGCCAGGATGGCCTGGACCTTCTGTGGCCGGAGGTCGTCATCTGCCATATCGTAATCCTCGATGTCCTTCCAGAGCTCCAGGGCTGGCACGTGCCTCTCGTCGGCCTTCAGGAACTGCTGGAAAAGCCGCTTGCCGATGGGCTGCTCCAGGCACAGATCCTGGAACTCCAGGTCCAGGCCGTCCCGCAGGGCCTCGCACTTGGAGAGCGGCGGCAGCTTGAGCTTGGCCCGGTACTTCTTGTCCCGGGGGGACGGGGCGCTGCTCCCATCGAAGCTGCCCCGGGCGGCGATGAAGGCGGAGTTGGCCACCACCGTCTCCAAGGACCCGAAATCCATCCCAGTGCCCCCCTCCCACCGCTCAGGGCCCAGGGGCCATGGGCTAGCCTTCCAAGCCTGTGTCCAGAGTGGGCCTGACCCGCTGACCTTGGCCTGTGCCCGGTCCTGGCTCTAGGGACAGGAGGCGTCCAGTCCGGTACAAGGATGACTGGGGGCCACCCCCGGAGTCCCCGGGAGCCCAGCTGACACAGCTCAGGCTAAATCCCAGCCCGGGGTTACAAAGGGACGCACTAGGAGTCGGGCGCGGCAAACAGGTGCCAGAAAAAGAAATCCCCTAAGCCGCTCCCAGAAGGATTAGATGGTCTGCCTGTGGCAATCCTTCCTCTGAAACCACCTCTGTCTTGACAAACCCCAGGACCCCCCAGGAGCACCTCACCAAAGTCCCAGGGGCTCAGAGTCCCTCTGAGCTGCCCTGTCCAGCCCCCTGGCCCCCTGGGCAGCCGGGCGGACTGCCCAGTTGTTTCCTTGAAGGGACATGAGGCTGAACTGAAGGGAGAGGGGGCCCCAAGGGAAAGGTTCATTTATAAGGATGCCTGGTTCCTTTCCTCAGTATATTTCATTTTTATCTTTAAAAAATAGGAAGTGAGAAGAAAGCCTGCTGTAACAGGAATTTAGAGAGAGAAATGCAGGGCACAGCTTCCAGGGTATCTGCCAATGAGACCACTGGCTCTGTGGCCCAACCCATAGGTGAGGGCTGACGCTTGTGCCCACCTGACACTGAGAGCAGCCATGCTCCTTGTCCCGAGGCTGGCTCTGAGGACCTAGAGTGACCCTGACACCTGCTGAGAGGTCAGCTCTGCACCAGTTCCTTCCCCTCACCTGGGGTTTGCATGCAAATCCAAAATGCCAAGAGAAGCATTCAGGTGAGATTAGGATAGGGAAGCAGGAGACCCACAAGCTATGCTCAGTGCTGAAGCCCCACGTGGGAGTGAAAGGGGGATGAAGAGGCCTGGGACATACCTGGAGCACACCTGAAACACACCTGAGGGATACCTAGGACACACCCAGGACTCACTTGGGGTATAACTGGTGTACACCTGTGGCACAACTGAGAAACACCTGAGGCACACCAGGAATATACCTGGGGCACACCTGGGACACATTGGGGTATGCCTACAGATGCCAGGACCAACTGAAATGTCAGCTTCATGACATCACAGCCTGGCCTGTTTATTCTAGCATACAGCAGGTGCTCAGCAAATGTATGGGAAAGAACACCAAGGAAGTGAGTAGGAGGTCGGTGTGTCAGAAACAAAGCATGCCTGAGCCAGAAGAGGCCAGGGGACCTCCCAGAGCGTCTGTCTGCTCCGAGGTGGGAGGAGAGGAGTGTCTCAGAAAGCGGTGAGATTCTGCCAGTGGATGCTGGACAGGTGGTATCCTCTGTAGCACCTGGGGAGATGGAAATGAGAACTTGCTGGCTGTGTGGCACTGCCTCCCACCTCCCAACTGAGTGGGTGGGTGGGTCCAGCCCATCCACTTAATAGCAGGTAACCTTGTGCCAATCTCTTTAACCTCGTTCTATGAGCTGACCAGATTTCAAATGGGGCCGTGGTGCTCGTGGTGTGTGGTAGAATGGAGCACCTCCCCCGCCGTTCCCCATCGTGTGTCCTGGGTCAGTGCTTCCCCACCGTAGCACAGACAAACTGCCTGGATTCTTGCTGAAATAAAGATTCTACTTCCAAAGCCTGGGGGAAGGTCTCTTACAGGCTCCCAGCTGGTTTAACACTGCCTGTCGGGACCCGCTGTGAGAAGCCGGGTCTGAGGAAGACAGCTCCCACCGAGTCAGCAGCGAGCTACATTCCGGGAAGCAGAAGTGTTCGGTTAGACAGAGCTGAATGTGTTTCCTGTCGCAGGACTTAGTTAGAGACTTTAGAATGAACTTGACTCTCAAAGAGGAGTAAAGTATGGCGATTCCCAAACTCGTATGGTTATTTCAGTGTAAACATAACCACATTAAAAGCTATTAGAATTAAACTTTCTATTTGGAAATAATTGTAGATTCGCATGGAGTTATCAGAAATGATCCAGAGAGATTCCTAATGACAACATTTCCCCAAACTACAACAGAGCATCCCAGGCGGGATGCTGACCCCGACCCAGTCCACACCCGAAACAGTCCATGCACCCAAGGACCCCATGCACAGACACGCCCACCTCCTCCCCACCCCCCACCCCCTCTGCACCCCTGGTTGCCACTGATCTGCTCTCCGTTTTTATAATTTTGTCATTGTGACATTCTATGAGTGGAATCAAATAGTACCTAACCATCTGGGATTGACCGTTTACACTCAGTTTACACTCAGCGTAACTCTCTGGCGATCCATCCAGGTTGTCGTGTGTGCCAACAGTTCCATGGCAAAGTGGTATTTATTCCACGGTGTGGAGGGGTCACCACTGGTTTAACCAGCCTTTGCTGAAGGACGTCTGGGTTGTTTCCAGTCTGGGGCTGTCGTGGTGAAGCGGCTAAACATTCATGTACAAATATTTGTGTAAATATAACTTTTCATTTCTCTGAGATTAGTGCCCAGGAGTGGTGTAATTGCTGACTTGTAACTAACTGCATGTTTAGTTTTTAAAAAACTGGCCAACCGTTTTCCAGAATGGCTGTGCCATATTACCTCCCTGCCAACAACAGGCGGTGAGCCCATCTCTCAGCATCCTCACCGGCATCTGGTGGTGTCGCTGTTTTTTATTTGACTACTCTGATAGGTGTGAGGTGGTATCTCCCTGCGGTTTTAACTTGAGTTTCCCTAATGTCAAGTGACACTGACAACTTTCCATGTGTTTATTTGCCATCTGAAATGTCTCTTTGTGGCTTTCAACCATGTTCTAACTAGATTGTTTGCTTTTTTGTAGTTGAGTTTTGAGTGCTGTTTATCTATCTTAGATACTAATCCTTTGCTGGACTTGTGGTTTCCAAAATACTTCCAGCTGGAGCTTGTCTTTCATCCACTTTGCATGAGCTTTCATGAAACAAAGGCTTTTTTATTTGGTTGAGGTCCCACTGGTCAACTTTTCCTTTTATGAATTGTGCTTTTGATGTCAAGTCTAAGAACTCTGCTTAGCCCTAGATCTTGAAGGTTTCTTCCCATGGTTTTTCAAAAAGTTTTATACTTTTACATTTAAATAAATGATCCATTTTAAGTTAAAAATTTTTTTACAACATGTGAGACTTAGGTCAAAGGGTTTTTTTGTTTTTGTTTTTTTGCCAATAGATGTTCAATTGTTCCAGCAAGGCTCTATCTTTGCTTCATTAGTTGCTTTGTACCTTTATAAAAAATCAGTTGGGCACATTAGCGTGGGCCTGTTTCCAGGCTTTCTAGTCTGTTCCATTGGTCTCGGTGTCTGTCCCTCCACCAAGGCCACACTGTCTTGATTTCTGTAGCTATTTCTCTCTATATCTGTGAGAAATATTGGTCTATAGTTTTCTTTTTTTGTGTTTTTTATCTGATTTTGGTATAAGGGTAATACTAGTCTTATAAAATCAGTTGGAAAATGTTTCTTCTTATCTATTTTCTAGAAGATATAGTATATAATTTATAATTCTTCATTAAATGTTTGGTAGAATTCTCCAGTGAAATCATATAGGACTGGTGGTTTCTCTGTTGAGAGATTTTTAATTATGAAATCAATTTCCTAAATAGCTATACAGCTACTCAGATTATCTATTTCAAATTGGGTGAGTCATGTTTTTTGAGGAAATGGTCCATTTCATCTAACTTGTCAAGTTTATACCGAGTTGTACATCACACCCCCTCATAGTTTTTTGAGGTCTGCAGGTCTGTGGTGACCACTTGTTTCATTTCTGATATTGGTTACCTGTGTCTTTTCTCTTGCAATAGGTTTGCGAATGTTATTGGTCTTTTCAAAAAACCAGTACTTTCTTGTTTTACTGATTTTCCCTTGTGTTAATTTCACTGGCTTCTGCTCTCACCTTTTATTTCTTCCTTCTGTTTGCCTTTCCCCTTCTTCTTTTTCTGGATTTTGAAGTGAAAACTTGGATTATTGACTTGAGACTTTTCCTTTTTCCTAGCACATTACTTTAGTGCTATAAGTTTTCTTGTTAATACTGCTTTAGCTCTGTCCTACAACTTTTGATATATTTTTGTCTTCATTCAGTTCCATGTACTTTTTAAAAATTTTCTCTTGAGACTTCCTTTTTGACTCATACATTATTTAGGAAATGTATTGTTTAATTTTCACACATTTGGAAATATTCCTGTTATCTTTCTGTTATTAATTACTAGATTGATTCCACTGTAGTTGTAGAGCACATTCTGTATGACTTTGATTTTTTTCAAATTCATTGAGCTTTATTTTATGGCTCAGGATATGGTCTATGTTAATAAACGTTCCATGAACACTTAAAAAGAAAGTGAGTTCTTCTTGGATGGGTGGGGTATAAGGCCAATGTCAACCACATTCTGTTGGTTGATGATGTGGTTGAGTTCTGTGTCCGTGCTGATTTTCTCTTTCGTTGTTCTATCAGTTGCTGAGAGGGGAATGTTGAAGTCTCTAACTAAAATTGTGGATTTGTCTATTTCTCCTTTCTGTTCTATCAGTTTGCTTTACATATCTTTTTAGCTCTCTTATTTGGTGCACACACATTTAGGATTGCTCTATCTTCTTGGTGGATTGACCATTTATTATTATACAATGGCTATCTCTGGAAATTTTCTCTGCCCCGTCTCCATTATATGATAGTAACATAGCCACTCTTACTTTATATGATTAGTATCTGAATTATATATCCTGTTCCATCCTCTCCCATTCAACTTGCCTATATCATTGTATTTGAGGCGAGTTTTTTTTAGATAGCACATGACTGAGTCATTTTTTAATCCACTCTTTTAATTGGCGTGCTTAGCCCATTTACACTTAATGTAATTATTGCTATGTTAGGGCTCCAGTCTGCCATTTTTTTGTGTCTTTCTCTTCTTCTGTTTTTTCATTTGTTTTCTTTTCCCTCCCTTTCTACAGGTTACTTCAACATTTTTTAGACTTCAACTTTCATTTATCTATAGTATTTTTAGTATATCTTTTTGTATAGTTTTTTATTGGTTACCATAGACATTGCGTTATATATGCATAACCTTTCACAATTTATATTGTTGTTTTATCAATTTGAGTGAAGTAAAGAATTCAACTTCTTTCATCCTCTTCTGTTTATAATTGTCTTAATTATTCCATCTACATACATTTAAACTAATATTAGGCAATATTATAATTTTTGCTTCAACCCTCAAACATAATTGGGAAAACTCAAGAAGGAAAGGAAAGCCCAGCCATGACCGGAATGGCTCAGCTGGTTGGGCATCACCCTGCGAAGAGAAAGGCCGCTGGCTCATCTCCCGGTCAGGGTGCCCACTGTGCCGCGGGCCTGGTCCCTGGTTGGGGTGTGTGCAAGAGGCAACAGATCAGTGTTTCTCTCACACATCAGTATTTCTCCACCTCCCTACTCCCTCCCTTCCTGTCTCTCTAAAAATAAATACATGAAATCTTAAAAAAAAAGAAGAGAAAAGGAAAAGGAAGCCTATAGTATTTACTTAGATTCTGCTTACTATTATTTTTTTTCTTTTCTGGTACTACAATATTCCTTTTAACATTGTCTTTCTGTTCTGAGAGTTCCCTTTAGCCATCCTTGAGGGTTAGTCTACCGGTGAAAAATTAGCTTCCTTTTTTCTTTATTTGAGAATGTCTTTATTCCCCCTTCATTCTTGAAGGATGTTTTCACTAGATTTGTGATTCTCCATTGACAGGACTTTTCTTTCAGCACTTGAAAAATACTGCACAACTTCCTTCTGGCCTCTGGTTTCTGATGAGAAATCAGCTGTCATTCAAATGGTTTTTCTCTGGCCGCTGCCTAGATTTGGTGTGCACCTTTAATTTGAGAAGTTTAATTATGATTCACCTTGGGGGGCCTAGTTATCCTGTTTGGGGTTCCGTCTGCTTACCTTTGAGTAGTTTCCCCCCTTGGCCTCTCGTCTCTCTCCTTCCAGGACTCCGGTGACACAGATGTCAGATTTTTAGGGCGGTCCCCGGGGTCCCTGAGGCTCTGAGACTGTTTTTCCGAGTTTGCTTTCTCTCCATTGCTCAGATTGGGTCGTTCCTCTTGTTTTTTTCTTCCATGTCAGTGGTTCTCTCCTCTGCCCCCTCCCTTCTGCTGTGGAATCTGTTCTTTCAGCTTTTTCTTTTGGTTATTGTATTTTTTAATCTAAAATTTCCATCTGGTTCTTCTTTAGATATTCTGTTTCCTCCCTTAAATGTTCTATTTCTTTGCTGAGGCTTTCCCTCTTTTCATTCGTTGCAAGCATGTTCATAACGGCTCCCTGAAGCAATTTTATTCTGGCTGCTTTAAAATCTGTCAGGTAACTCCAGCATTTCTATCACCTTGATGCTGGCATTCATTGGTTTTCTTGTTTTAATTCAATTTGAAATCTTCCTGGTTCTTGGTATTGTGAGTGATTATCAACTGATATGTAACGTATTCCTATTATATAATCCTTCAGTTTTAGGGGGCTGTCTCTGACTCCACTCCAGCAATGGAAGGGAGTTGGGCTCCACCTCATCACTGCCGGGTGGGGGTAGAAGTCTAGGCTTCCCAGTGGGGAACCTGGGGGTGCTCCCCACTTGGTTTGGAGCCCACTCTTTACGGTGCATCTGTCCCGTGTGTTCAGAGCACGACATGAGGAAGCAGCCCTCGGCCGGCGTCCCCCTCCCTGCCTCTCCTCCCTACAGGCATGTGTCTGGAAAGGTCATTTTGATCACGTGTGTGCAGTTCAGCACACGCTTTCGTGCTTTGGGAGTTCAGGGGCTGAGTGGGGAAGATTTGGTTCGAAGACGTCCAAAGAAGAGTTCATGTTTCGCTCCTTTCAAGAGTGTCTCTGTGCTTCATGGACAAGGGCGGCATTTCTTCCACAGTCAGCAGTTGCTGCACTGATCCTAAGGCCCCGGCACTCGGAGCCCCAGACCCCATAGGTGGGGACAACTAGACTGCCACCTAACACCACGCTCTGTTGCTATTGCCCTCAAGTTCCAAAGTTGTCAATGGGAACAGTGTTAAGGAAAATACATAGTCTTAGTCTGTTAAAAAATCAGGAGTCCTAGCTAAAATAGTGCAATTCCATCTGAATTTTAGGGTGCTCATTCTGCTGATAAACTCTAAATCATCATAAAGGGAATAGGTAGAATCATGGCTAAAAGGTTTTTGTTTTTCCTTTTATTTGCCTACATGGGAAAACCTAGATGTGACCATAAATAGAATTTCAGATTTTTGTGTGCAATACCCATTATTTTCATTGGACTTTGAAGAAAATATTTGGAGAAAGGTCTCAGTGGCACATTACATTTGCCCGGCTTCGCCCTTCCAACTGCAGAGATGATGCCCCAGTGGGCAGGTGCCATGGCCCCAGCTCTGTCTCCAACCACCAGGGCCTCTAAGCCAGTGGCTCTGGTCACACATCAAGATTAATTTGGAGAGGGATGGGGGGTGGCTCAGAGCTCTCTGGAAGCTCACGCCACCTGGGCTCTTGGCTCACTCACTAACTCAGGGTGAAACAAGTGTCAGGAGTTTTCAAGGTGCTCCAGGTGACTCCGACGGTCCTCCAGGCCAAGCGTCCCCCACCTGGACATTGCCGGTGTTCTGCAGCACAAGCCCGGCCCACTGGGAACTCCCAAGCCCAGTGAGTCCCCCTGAGTCAGAATCTGCATTTCAATTAGATGCCTGGGGTGTGGTGCGCACTCAATTTTGAAAATAACTAGACTGTATAGCTGTGAATTCCCCCATAAATGCAAAAAAGTCTAAAGGGCCCGGCCCTCACCCCGACAACAGATCGCAGGGCACATCATCCTTGTCACTGACACTGAGCATCAGGTGTGATGGGAGGTGAAGGGACCCAGGAATCCTCTGAACCCTTTTCTCTGGAACGGAACTTCTGGCCCCTTTCACACTCTGGCCCTGCTCTCACGCTGTCAGATGCAGTCTCTCTGGTGACAGCACCTGGAGCACTCGTGAGCCCCAGCAACTACAATACCATTGCATTGGTCGCTTGCCCCCAACATCTCAGACCCGGACACGTCTGAGCAGCAGGCGAGTGGCCGGGTCCAGGCCTGTCTTTGTGCTGACCTGCCCTCTTTGCTCCTGGAGGAAGTGAGAGAATGGGGCAGAGCTGAACAAGTGGCTGTTCACGCAAAGGAAGTATTTCTCCTTAGTCATTACCCTAACAAAGTTACGGACCAAGGGCATCCCGAAAGGAGGGGGTGGTAAAAAGAGGTGACCCGGCCCTGGTTTGCCCAGGGGAGGCATGAAGGGCACCTGATAGCAGGAGAACCTGCAGAGCTCATGGAGCCGCCGACACCGGTGTTTGGAGAGCAGGGGTCTGATAACGCCGCTGGGGTGCTTTCCCCGGAACTCGCCCCACGGCGCCTCTGACCTCTGAAGGAGACTATAAAACCCTAAGGAGGACTTTCCCCTCTCAGTCTGGGCGTGGGGAGCACCCGGTTCTGCAGGCGGGGGACCTCCAGGAGCAGGGACGATGGCCGCGCTGCAGGAGAAGAAGTCATGCAGCCAGCGGATGGAGGAGTTCCAGCGTTACTGCTGGAACCCGGACACGGGGCAGTTGTTGGGCCGGACCCTGTCCCGGTGGGGTATGTCCCTGGCGAGGAAGGGAAAGAGGGGTGGCTCTGAGAGAAGAGGCAGAGGACTAGCCACCAGCAGACTCCCAGACCCAGGCCCTGTCCCGGCTCCGAGCCAGGGCCTATCTCCCTCACCGGGCACCCACAAAGGCCCGTTTCAGCCCTAACACCCCTCAGCACCAGGCACCCGCAGGGTGGGAACATCTGAGGACTGGCCCCGAAGTTTCAGGCTTAGATTTAGGAATAGCAGTTTATCTCTATGTTCCTAAAATATGTAATTTTTGAAAAGACTTTAGCCAAGAGGCCTGGGTTTCTCTAGAGTGATGAGAATGTTCTGGAACTAGATAGAGGGAGTGATTCGCAGCCTCATGCGTGAATGTACTAAACACTGAGTTCTCGCTTTGAGGCAGCTGCAGCCGTGGCCTCTGCCCTTCCCGCCACAGCGCAGGGCAGGGCATGGCGACTGCGCCTGACCGGCCTCTCCCCGCAGTGTGGATCAGCCTCTACTACGTGGCCTTCTACGTGGTGATGACTGGACTCTTCGCCCTGTGCATCTACTCCCTGATGTGCACGCTCGACCCGTACACACCTGACTACCAGGACCAGCTGAAGTCACCAGGTAATGGGGGCGACACTTGAGCCTAGAGCCCAGGGCCCCGCATGGGTCAAGGCAACACTCAGCCCCTGAGTGGCCCAGTCAGGGCATGGACCCCCGAGGGGCACCCAGCAGGCCCTGAGGGGCCTCTCTGTCCCCGCCACCAGTGGCCGCAGGGCTGCGAGGGGCACACCAGATGTGGATGGCCCCTCGCCTTCTCCTCATAGGGAAAAGGACCCCTGATTATAAAGTCTAACTCTGGTTTTAGTTGTAATTATTAACACAAGAGTTCTGTGTGATGGAGTCTTTCTATCACTGGTTTTGTATGCGTGCATACGCACAGAGGACATTTCTGGGGGACATACAAAAAACTGCTCCTAGCGAGATCAGGAATGAAGGGTCTGGGGCGGGAAAGAGCTCCTGTTTATACCCCTCCGTGGCCGTCAGCAGCGAGGCGTCGCCTCCACAGGGGCCAGTTCAGGTCAGAGCACCCGGGCCCCTCTAAGCACAGGTCGTCTCCTGACCTGCGGGGTGGGGGGCTGGGGTGCGGGCGGAGCCTCGGTTCTCCTCTCCTGCGTTGGCACCGTGTGTGTGAGCCGTTCGGGACCAGACTCTGGGGCCCGACACAGTGAGGTGTCACCTCCACAGTCCCGGTGAAGGTGATCAGAACCAACACATCCACACCCAGCCCATTAACCAGAGATAGCTGTGAAACACACACACACACACACACACACACACACACACCCATGGCAGGGAGGGAGGGGAAGAAACGGAGGAAGAAAAGGCATTTCCAGTGCACATTTCCACAGAGCGTTTACCACTCACGCATCCTTAACACTTTCTGAGGAAGATAATAACCCCAGAAACATCCAGCAGCAGTACAAAAGAAAGAAAACTCAAATGTTTTTAAGAGAAGCTGCCTCAGGTGTTCTCCGGCAGGTGAGCTTGCGGGTCCAGCCATTCCGCTGGGATCTTCAGTGAATCCATTTATACATAACACCAAAGTGCTGTATTTATTGGGTGTCAAGTTTTAGACTCAACCAACAGGCAAAACATGGAGCATTTCACTGTCATTTCAGAACAGAGTGTAATATATCACAAACTTGAGAACACAGCCGTAATGAAATGTGCCCAAACCCCGCGGACGGAAGGCAGGGAGAGGTGTGTTCCCCGGGTCCCGGGCTGCAGGCAGGGGGCAGGCGACAGGCGCCCCCTGAAGCTGATGAACAAGTTACATGGGAACCCGAGGACACGCAGAGGGGGAGGCACTGAGAGGAGGGCGTGGGGGGCCTTCCTTTCCTTTCCTTTCCTTTCTTTCTTCGTTTAGACCTTTCTGGAGGTTTTCATTTTATACCATGTACAGCTAGTACTTTCATGACACCCATAAAACAACAAAAACCCGACCTTACTGACTTAAAGAGTCACCTGCATCCATCAGGGGACTGGCTAGATAGGTCGTTAAACATTCACACAGCAAAACACGACGCGGTGTTCGTGGAAGGAAAGAGGTGAGTTGCTACGAAATGCCAGGGAAAGGCGGTGACAGCTGGTGTCGGGACATGAAAACAGGCGAGTGGGATATGGAAAGGACCCCCCTTGTGTGAAGAAAGCCCCGACATACACGACACGCCTTTGCATCCACAGAAATGAGGCGGTTTCCCGAGCGCTGCACTCGAGATCAGGAAAACGGGACTGTTGCATCCACTTCCTGCTCCTGTGCATTTTTTGCAACACGTTGTTAGCATGCACTTGCTCTTAACCAAAGCCAGTGCAGTTTCCAAATATGCATTCAAATACAACTTCACTTGGAAACCCAGTGGGTCCTGGATGAGTTGTCACCTGCAACGAGAGTGGCCACTGGGGTGGCACTGGCTCAGGCGTCAGGTGCAGGAAGCGCCCACCTGGCCTTCCGCTGAGCACTGCACCCTGAGCCCAGAGAGGCCTCATTCCGATGGCACAGCTCCCAGGCTGGAGGACAGGGTCCTCATTGGGCTGCAGACTCCTCACCAGGTGGCCCTTGAAGACATGGGCCCAGGTGGTACCACAGCGTCCCACACTCGGCCTCCCCCAGCTCAGGACCACTCTGCATGCAACCCAGCAAACAGCCTGGACATGATGAACACTTGGGGAAAACTAACAAATGTCAGGCTCTCTTTCCAGGGGTGACCTTGAGGCCAGATGTCTATGGGGAGAAAGGTCTGGACATTTCCTACAATGTCTCCGATAACAGGACCTGGACGGACCTCGTGCACACCCTCCACGACTTCCTGGCAGGTAAGGTTAAAATGCCTCCACAGCCTTTATTTTTCCTAAGAATATTTCACTGAGGGGCATGGGCTGTGAGGCCCTCTAACGGCCCTGGGCGGCTGCAGCTGGGGGAAGGGCCCACGGGGTGTCTGTGCCGGCAGGCTACTCGCCAGAGGCCCAGCAGGACAACATAAACTGCACCTCGGAGAAGGTCTTCATCCAGGAGAGCTTCAGCGCCCCTAACCACACCAAGTTCTCCTGCAAGTTCACCACAGACATGCTGCACAACTGCTCGGGCCTGGTGGACCCCAGCTTCGGCTTCGAGGAAGGAAAACCGTGTTTTATTATTAAAATGAACAGGGTGAGTATGAAAGGGTTAGAGGTCAGAGATCCAGTATGAGGCCCCTTTGGAGATTCCTGTGGGGTGAGGGTCAGGGCGTTTAGACCTCCTATGGCCACACAAACCCTCCTGTCCAGGGTCCCAGAAGTGGTGGGTCAGACAAGCACCAGCTGCTCCCTCCTCGCTCTGCACCCATTGCATTGGCTCATATGCTGACTACGTCTCTCAAACACAAATGAAAGCCTTCCATTCAGACACAGCATCTACGGGATGCTCTGTAGTCCCTGGACACTGAAAAGCAGAGCACAGGGCAATTCCGTGGCTAGGGCAGCCATGTGTGCACGATGCCTAGAAAGAAGCCATGTACGGATGCGGGGAGGACACCTGGAGACCGTCTGGAGCAGAGGTTTCCAACCTGAGCCAGGGATCCACCTGCAGACCCCGGGCCAGGCACTGAGGGAGGCAGACCGAGTACACAGTCAACGCAAGCAAATACAGCCAGCAGCTGAGGCCTGGGAGTGGGAGCTCTAAGCCTACAGGGACTGCCCTCTGGGCACTGTACAAGTGCCCCAGGTCCTGGCTGGGGTCTCGTCAGAGCTGCCTGGCAGGCGTGATGGCAGCTCATGCTCACGCAGCACAGGACTCTGTACACCAGGGCAGGTATAGGGAGGGGAAGGCAGGTTCTATACCAGGCCCTGGCACCGGTGGGCACACACAAGGCCAGGACTTCAGGGAGCTGAGAAGGGCATGGATGGGGAGAAGCACAGGAGGGCTGACGATGGCATGGAGAGCTGCCGCACAGCAGGCAGGCGCTGTGCCCCAGCTCAGCGCAGCGTGCAGGGCCCCAAGCGGCAGCCACAGCTCAGGCCCTCCTGTTCGGTCTGCCCTCGGCCTGTAGCCAAGACCACAGCCCTGGTCTGGCTTTGAAGAGGTTGGTAATACACATCGGGTGTTATTGGAATAGGAACCACTCCCACCCCCACCCCCAGACCCTCTTCAGTGCCCTGCGGAAACCCCCACTCGGGCAGATCCCTCCATGCTCACAGACGAGCAGCAGGAGGGGCCCCACAGATGCCTTTCCCTTCCAGATCGTCAGGTTTCTCCCCAGCAACAAAACGGCCCCCAGGGTGGACTGCGCCTTCCTGGTGAGTGTGACCGCCCGCGCCATCTCGCTATTGCTAGGAAACCCGTGGGAACAACTTTGCTGGTTTCCTCTAAGAACATCTCACGTGTCAGCCCAATAAACCAGACAAATCACATGAGCTGCTGCTTAAAACAGTTTTATTACAGGGGATAAAAACCTAATAAGAAAAAAATTGTTATTGTTTTGCTTCAAAAAGCATCTGGGACAGTAAACTACTAACACACTCCAAAATATTTGCTGGCAGTTTGGAGAAACCCAGGCACCTCTCTGACTGTTTCGTCCTTTCTATTCTGATTTACAAAAAGACGCCAGATTACCCACAGCTATTGTTCAGTAGTGTATGCATGTGGGCTGCTAACGGCATTAGTGTAGTGCGGTTTTCCTCCAAACTAGTTTTTCAAGCACGACGTGAGAAAATCCAAGTTTGCTTCCAATGAGTATTTCCCGAAGCTGTTCTACACCACTGCGCCTTCGAGCGAAGGCCCCATGCTATGGGCTGTGGGTGCCCCGCCCAGAGCTCCGCAGGAATGGCACACTCAGCACCTGTAGCCACTGCCTGGTGTGGGGTGGGGGCGGGCGGCTCGTTTTGCTTTTACTTTTTTATTGATCTCAGCTGCACCCATGTGGCTGTCGTGAGGTTTTACAGACACCAGAGTGGCCTCCGCCTGCGCTGTGGGAAGCTCACACTACCCATCGGTCAGTTCGCTGACTCCGAAAGTGGATCCTGGCCCCAGGAAGCCACGCAAACACGGGGCAAACCAGCCCACGTGGCCTGCTCGCCTCCATTCTGCGTGCAGCTAAACAAGCGTTGTTCGCTCTATGCACCTTTATTATCCTACAAGAACTAAGTGGCAAAAACACAAGTTTGATAAGTCACCAGGGTTTCTACAACCTACACACTATACCCCTAATGGGACTGCAGTAGTGATTATAAAGATTAGATCTAGTTTATGCTAGTCACGCAGTAAAGTGTATATGCGCCACCTACACAGTGCACACATGTACACACATGACATGCATGTCACACACATGCAGGCACATGCACAGGTGCGTGAAGAACATGCACCGGCCGAGGTGTACACATGCCACACACACACACATGCACACATGCACTCAGAGACACGCAGGCACACAGGGCAACCGCCTGCCCAGATGCGGCCTCACTCAGGCAGTGGCCTCTGCTCCCCAGGACCAGGACCAGGGCCGGGACCAGCGCCACACGGACCTCCCGCCTCTGCAGGTGGAGTACTACCCGCCCAATGGCACCTTCAGTCTACACTACTTCCCTTACTACGGGAAGAAGGCGCAGGTTGGTGTCACTTCTCCCCTGTTCGGTGTGCTCCCCTCATCCCCTGGCAGGTGTGATGGCAGCCACCGGATCATCCCGAATTCAGCAACAATGCCTGGCTAAAAGAAAGCCATAAATACTTGACCTATAAAAACGAAGCAAGGTGTTCCTTAACCCATTCTGACCATTTCAATGCTCAGCTGTTTCCCAAACCCACCTTCTCCTAAATATCTGAAAACACATTGTTTTCACACAAAATACAAATATTAAATCTAATTGTTTTAGTTTTCAGCGGCCCCCCAAACCCTGTTAAACAGCTGCATGTTCATTTGAAAGCATTTCCTCTAAGCCTCTTGTGTTTTCCTGTTGCATTTTGATCTTTCATCAAATGTACTTTGATGTGGATTGCCTGCTGTCTGTCCCCCCAGACCGGTCCTCACTTCCGAGCAGGCAGACACCGGTGAGCCCCGGGACACGCGGCAGGGCCTGCGTGCGCTGTTACAGACCGAGGCCGCTCTCACCGGGGCAGAGAGCACGAGGTTTCTGACGCACCCCCTCTTTCCGCACTCGGTTTCAGCCCCACTACAGCAACCCTTTGGTGGCCGCAAAGCTTCTCAACGTCCCCAAGAACACGGAAGTGGACATCGTGTGCAAGATCCTGGCTGAACATGTGACCTTTGACAACCCCCACGATCCCTTTGAAGGGAAAGTGGAATTCAAGCTTAAAATTCAGAAGTAAAGGACCGAGGAAGTGCTTGTAGCCTGCGTGGGAGCCTGCAGTCCACCGCCCTCCCAGGGTGCCGCCCCCCGGCTCCGCGGCACACCGACTCCCAAACGCTCAGTGCCTCCACACAGGCGCCTGTGCGCCAAGCACTTCGTGTTGGAAGCAACTATTTCTTAATAAGTCTTTACTATTTTTTAGATAGAATTTGTAGCTATGATAAAAATGTTGGGTTAACATGGTAACCCTCAGGCAGAAGCTATCCAACTAACAAGACCCTAAAATGATTCACCTCTTTGTACACAGACATCACTTTTCTTCCTATAACTTATTCTCTAAACGTCAACGAACTACGGCCCATGGTAGTATAAACACTACTGATGCCTTGAAACGGCACTTGACTATGACAATGTACACTTCGAATGCCTGCTTCAAAGAATGCAATTCCCATTGCAAAAATATATTAAAGCCACTCTTATTGTACACAAAACAGTCATGCCTTTCCTGAAATGGGGGGGGGGGTGGTTGTGGATCAACTAAAAACCAAAAACAAACAGCTCTTTCTTTAAAAATCTTCCTTTTAAAGCTTCCACTGCAAGTCAGGGAAATGACAGAAGGATACTGGCGAGGGGCTGCCGCCTGAGAGCAGGTGCGGTTCCAGGACGAAAGCAGGTAAGACACAAGGGAGCCGCCAACAGACAGAGTCTATGAACCAGAGGTAACTGCACACGGCAGTTCATCTTCATTCCCTGAGCACGAGTCCCTCCTCCAGCGCCCAGGACTCACGTGAAGTCTGCAACTCGAGGCCTTTTGAGAAGATCTCGACGAGCCTGTGTGACCCAACCTGCTCTCACCGAGTGGCGCCCACTTTTCACCCAAACCGTAGCTCGGGGCCTGGTGCCCTCCTCCCACCCGAGTGCCAGACACAGCGTCGCCACCAGTGGAGCGGCCCAGAAAGCTCCACGCAGCTGCTGGACAGGAGAACCTGCCCACGTGAAACCCAATCACAGACACAGTGTGAGGAGAGAATCAAAGCCCTGGCCAGGTGCTCAGGGGGCTGGGTGTCATCCCACAAACCGGAATGCTGCCTGCACGATTCCCGATTCCCAGTCGGGGCACCTGCCTGGGCTGCAGGTTCAGTCCCCGGTCAGGGCGCATGTGAGAGGTAACTGATGGAAGTTTCTCTCCCTTTCTCCCACCCTCCCCGCTCTCTAAAATAAATAAATTCTTTAAAGAAAAAATGCATATTCTATCTTAGCCTAAGTTGCAGGTTTGATTCCCAGTCGAGGTGGGGAAGCGGAGGTAACCTATCAATGTTTCTCTCACTTCTCTCTCTCCCTTCCTCTCTAAACATATCCCAGGGTGAGGATTGAAAAAACACCCGTAAATACTGTAAGGCCAACTGAAACCTGTATTTATTAAGCATCTCTACCATGTACGACACTAGCAAGTGTTCTTCACTGCTGATACGAACAGTAAAAACTTTGGGAGCCACCTCAGAAATGTCACGTCAGAGGTCAGGTCACCTCAGATGTGTCACGATAACAAAACGTTGGAGGTCAGAGGTAAGGTCTCCTTTCTTACCTTATGGTCTTCTTTTTCTGAAAATCGAATCCATAAAATCGGCCTCAACTTTGAGGACTCAAGAGAAAGGCAAGAAACAAACCCTCTCCCCACCACCGGCCACAGGAAAAAAGGGATCACTTTGGTCTGTGTCCACTGTGACATCCTTCTTTGGCCCCCAGCCCACCCCTCCTGGGCCTGGCTACCGCTCCTCACTCCAGCGAAAAGCTGGACTAGCAGGATAAAATGACTTCTAGACAGTAACCCTGAAGTAGAGGAACACAGAGCTTGTTTAAAATGCCCATGCGCGTTTTATTAATAAAAACTAACAGTGCCAGTTAAACAAGTCCAACAATTAAAGTCTCTTTAGATTCCATAAAATATTACAGAAAAGTTTATTTGTGTTTCAATAAAAAGACTATTGTTTTAGAACAGGCAGCTAATAGCAACTGTGCAGTTAATGGTTCTCTGTGAATAAATTTTAAAAGAAGCTACTGCCTGTCCTCAAATTCCTTTTTCTTTTTATAAAAAAAGAACTATTAAAAATGATTGACAAATTTCGAGTTAAAAAACTGTTAAAACATTCTCTATATTTAATTTCAACTTTATAATAGATTACAGGAAGATGCTTACGAAACAAATACAACATTTGTTTCAGTACATGTCTTTAAATGATAGACTTATAAGTATGTAAACACTATATAATAAAAAGTTTCCAAACGCTGCCTGTAAGAAATCAGGCAAATTTTACCATAAGCAATAAACCATTCCAAGCCTTCCAGACAGTTTTCAGAGCTGCACCAGCACGGCAGTGAACTTACCAAACAAAACACACACACACACACACACACACACACACACACACACACACAGAAAAGAACTTTGCAATATGTTTGCTGCAACATAGACCTAAAATTTAAAAAAAGGGGGGAAGAAAGGAAAAGTATACACTTGATGGAACCACGCAGTCAATATAATTTAAGGGAAAATAAAGTTATAAGATTTATGGTGCTTAATGTGGAAAAGCAGAGCTTTGCCATTTGCTTGGTTCTGTGGATGCCATAGAACAAATCGGAACTCGTCCTGGAGCCTCACACTCTGTCAGCAGGGGGTGCCATCCATAACACGCGGCCAGTGAAAGGCATTCCGGTGGCCTGGACAGGATGACGATGTGTTTTCATTGATGTAGATGGAGTACAACTTCCTCAGCAAACTCAGCAAAAAGTGTTAAGGGACAAAAAGTAACTCTGAATTAAAAAAATAAAGATAAAAATAAAAACACACAATCTAAAAAGTAAATAAAAGCCCTGCGTCAGCACGCTGGAATCAGCACACGCCGCAGACCATCTTCAAAGACCCTACAGGGAACCACCCGCACTTGCTTATCCGAGGTGCAGGTCAAGTTCGACAGCTTACAGTATCTTCTTGGGAAGAGGCCAAAAAGAAACAGAAAAGCCCACATTAAAAAGTCTGTCTTCCCTAAACGTGTTTTCCTGAAGCTGAACTGGAGGGGAGGCGGGGCCGTGGGCGACGAGCACATCAGTCTTCCTCGTCGTTGTCGTACTCCTCTTCCTCGTCCTCGTCCTCCCCGACGTACGACACCGGGGTCTCCACCCGGGACCCGCTGTACTGGGACCCGCTGGAGCTCGTGGCCAGCATCCCGTCTGCACCATTGGTCAGGTCACTGCAAGGACAGGAAGTGACACCGGGGTCAGTGCCGTGTCGCCAGGGCCCGCACCAAAGATGGCTGTGTTTCAGGGAGGCGGGGCGGGGGGGGGGTTTCAATGACACAAGCAGAACAGAAGGTCTCGCCCATCTGCAGCAGAGTGCCGACGCTGTGACTGGTTCCACCTGTCTCACACCCTCTCCCAGCTCTGTCCTCTCGGACACAACCAGTAAAACGGGGGTGTGTGTGTGGGGGGGGGAATTGGCAAGTCCATGATATTTAGTCTTTCTCCACTTATTACATCAAAAACAAAGTCCCCAAGTACAGCAACTAAAAAACCATCACATCCTTCTTCCTAGACCTTTTACTTATGAAGTCCCTGATCTTGAGAAAGGAGACAGAAAACAATTAGGAAAAAGGGGCCCTAGGATGACATGGGGCCCTCCAAAGCAAGGCTCCTGGGACAGCAGTGTGAGAGGGTACCCAGCAAGTTCTGTGTATGTGTGTATGCACACACACGTATATGCACACGTGTGCATGTATGTGTGCACATGTGTGGGTATCCACGCTCAGTGCAAGTGTTATTGTGTTGAATGTGTGCCTGTGCAATGGTGTGTGCATGCATTTGTGTGTACAGGCACGTGTGTGTGCCCTAGGACCCACCTTCATCTCCTCTGGTGTCTGCAGAGAGCCCAGGAAACTGAGCTGTGACGGGTGATTCTCATGCAGACACTCCCTCTGCAACCTGCACTTCCAGGAAGGCTCCAAGGACTCGACAGCCTTCCACGGTTTTGTGACACGGCATCTGCCAAAGGTCAGCGGGGATGACCCTGGGCACGGCCCAAAGGGGCAGAGTGGAGCTGCAGGGCTGGGCTGCCCAGCACTACACACTGGTCCTGGGGTGGACATCTACATTACGCTCCTGGGAACCTCAACCAGGAACATGAGAAAATCTTTGGTTGTCACAGTTGAGTGGGTGGGTACTGGCATCTGAGGCTGAAGGTGCTATGAACAGCCCACAAGGCACAGGACAGTGCCCACAACAGTTGTCTGGCCCACAATGCAAAGAGTATCACAGGCAAGACCCTGGCCTCAAATGGTGAGAGGTTTTAAGAGCTGGGACCCCGGTGAGAGACACTGGGTTCAGCCACCACCCAGAGTCCCAGTGCAAAGCGAACCAGACACAAAGGGTTAACTGTAGTCCCAGGGCGTCAGCGGGTGGAGGCCCACACCAGCCTCTGGCCTTGAGGAGCAGGGACAAGGGCACATTTCCACTGTGAGTTATAACTTGCTCGAGTTATGGTCGAAAGTAACTTCAATTTCTTAGCGTTTGAGTTAAGCAGCAAGAAAAGGCAGTCTGAGACATCAAGTATTGAAGGGATGCCAACCTAGAATTTAAAATCTGTTAGAGATCAGCCAGATGCTGGACTCCGAGAACGCCTCCCGTAACACACGGAGGCTTGGCGTCACCCCCAGCGGGAGCCTCACATGCTGAGTTTGTTCAGAGATGAGGGACCCGAAAGGGTCAGAACTGCACTGGCGATGTGGCCACTGAACACCGGCAAAGGAGGGGCTCAGGGGGCACCGCACGAGTGCGTGACGTGTGCTGCCTTACTCGGACGAGGTGGGTCCAGACCCCGAGAGGTTTCCAGCAGCGCGGGAACCTGCCCCAGGCCAGGCCAGAGCGGCAATGTGCTCCAACGCCGAGGAGCAGTCTGATGGGCATAAAGCCGTATGCACGTTATTTTACTACCTCTCACTGACACTTATTAACACTGTACAAGGAAAACTATTAAATATTGCACTCTTCGACAAAGTAATTCCGCATCTGGAAAATCCAGCCTAACAAAACAAGTCAGGAAGGATGAAGAATTTCACCATAAAGCTGCTCACTGCAGCTTTTCTTATAACTGGGAGCCGCCCACACGTCCGACCACGGAGGGCAGCTCAGTGGTTGCCGCGCCTCCCTGAAATACCGCCTCCTGCCACCAGGAGCGCCGGCTTTTCTTCTGAAACGGCCGTGGCTTCACTTCCTTCATCATATAAACTAACACAAGTCTCGGAAAATTTAATCAGTAAGATGAAATTTCCTAAAGATGAAATTCAGGTAACACCCCACTTCCACCTCTTGGGGTGGTGGAATGTCAGCATAACTGACATTCAGTGTTCTACAGAGACAGAGTTAAAGATCAAACTGACCTCTGTCTCAACCTGACTGCGTGCTGGAAACCCTGCAAGGACCGCGCTGCTTCCCGAGGCCTCT